AGTGTATTACGAAACCTGTGTGAAATAGTATGCAAAACATTCCTGTAAACATCATAAACATGAGATGCAAGTCGAGTATCTCTTTCTGTAAATCTGTCTCCAGGAGAGACAACCGCAGGAGGAAGGCCAAGATCGATGTTGGGTGGCGGGGTGGTGTCGGCAGCCCACAGCTATGGGCTGGATAAGGAGGGCGTATATCCAGCAGTGCGGTTTGCCTTCAGCTCCTTGCGTACGAGGTGGAGGATCTGGAGGCACAAGCAGCAGCTCTATGCCATGCACCTGCCTGACACCTGGGAGATGAGTAGGAGATAGAAGCTCCTGGCATGTGCCCATGTTTGTGCTTATTTCCTTCCAGTACTGACAAATCCACAGCTGATTTTTGTTTGTTCGTCTATACCAGCAAGTATTTTCGAGCCAATGATGAGTATAGCTATAAAATGCACAGAATTCTTCTATGCTGTTCTATACTGCATTTTAAGTTAGGTATACAACGTGTCTCTGCTAGACTACATCAAAATTCGAAACTCTTCTCTACAGACAGCCTCAGAGATTAGTCTATAGGAATCTTGCTAAAGCACATTTGAGCTTGTTCCTGTACAGCAGCCTAAAGGTTATTGGCAACGCACCAAAGAAACCCATGACGGGTGGATTTAGATACTAGCTGCAAATCTCCGTTAATCTCTGTTTACAATCTATTCCCTATTACTGCCTACAGATAGTAACTCCTAAGTTAAAGGTGCTTTTTGTAGCAGTATTTACCGAAAAATCCTTTAAAACGCATATACCAGGAACAAAAGACTTGAAAAAATTACCTGAAACTTAACTTCCTACTTCCTTTAGGTTCTGAATAAAACAGTCGAGAACCATATAGATAAGGGCGTTCTTGGTAGATTTGCTAAACTCAATTTACTTTTAAATGTGCGGGGTGTTTTGTCATTCTGTTTGAAGAAATCGTGTACTTTGAAGATGTGTTGGTCACTGTATGATAAATATTCCTTTCGGTTTGTTTCATTAGCCCTTCAACATGCTCATTTTCTAGTTTTTCAGACCTGCGTGAAGAAACTGTATTTTGATGCCACACAAATACCCTGTTGACTTTTGCCAGGTTTTGCTTTTATATAGGGCAGATATAATCTACCACTGAAATGCTTCACGTTTAGCATTATCTCTTCAAGAAAAAGATGCTATAAAGACTTGTTATTGGTTAATTATTGCTATATGCAGAAGCCAGGAAATCTGTGGTTGTGTTTTGTAGCAGTTGGTAATAAAAACTGGATTGTTCAGATAAAACTACAATCATAAAGAAACCTGGACTAGTCATGAGCTGTCACGCGGTATGTCTGCACAGATAAAACCTGTAATCTGTATTATTTTTTTTTTTTACATTATGCTTTAGGCAGTAATGTAGAGGTGTACTTTTGGCATCTCCACTTGGGATGTACAACGTTGTGCTCAGCCCTCGGCAGGGTGTTTTGAGAAGGCAGGCAGCGAGGATCTACGTAAGCAGGGAAAGCCTCGTTCCGAATGGGGCCCTTTTTGGCCAACAGGTAGCTAAAAATCAGTAAAAGCTGCTTGTTGCTCCATATGCTTCTGAAGGGGAAGGCTGGGGGCTGACCAGCCCAGGCTGGCTGAGGCTTCCCTTGCCGAGGGGGTGCTGCTCCCGCACCTTTTGGGAGCCCATGGGCTAAGGGGATGCAGCTCCCTCCCTGGAGCACTGCAGCGCTGCCCCCAAAGGCCTTGTTCTCCATGGGATGGACAGCAGAATCATAGAATATTTTGGGTGGGAAGGGACCCCTAGAGGTCACCCAGCCCAACCCCCCTGCAGGAGCAGGGACACCTTGAACCACATCAGGTTGCTCACAGCCCCGGCCAACCTGGCCTGGAATGTTTCCAGCGATGGGGCCTCCACCCCCTCTCTGGGCAACCTGTTCCAGTGTTTCACCACCCTCATTGTAAAGAACTTCTTCCTTATATCTAATCTAACCCTACCCTGGTTTAGTTTAAAACCATCACCCCTTGTCTTGTCACTGCTGGCCCTACTAAAAAGATTTTCCCCATCTTTCCTATAGGCCCCCTTTAAGTACTGAAAGGCCGCAATCAGGTCTCCCCGCAGCCTTCTCTTCTCCAGGCTGAACAAGCCCAACTCCCTCAGCCTGTCCTCATAGGAGAGGTGCTCCAGCCCTCGGATCATTTTTGTGGCCCTCCTCTGGACCCGCTCCAACACTTCCATGTCCTTCTTGTGCTGAGGGCTCCAGAGCTGGATGCAGTACTCCAGGTGAGGTCTCACCAGAGCAGAGTAGATGTCCTTGAACTGAAGCCTCAGAATGACTTTTGGGGGGTGTGTGTTTCTTTTTTTGCTATCATTTTTCTCAGGTCTCTCTCTAGCCTAGCTAAGAAAGAAAGACCAAAGATGGCAAAGTCAGAGGTAGCTACTCACCGCAATCCTACATCCTTCAGTAAGAAGACAGCTCCTAACAGCAGAACTCAAATAAAGCAACTCCTTCTCTCCATGTCTTGTGATTTAAAAAAGAAAGGCGTGCCCGGAGGGAACTGCCTCCTAGAGGGGCTCATGAGGCGCTTTCCAAAGCCCAGGCCCGCCCCAGCTCAAGGAAGATAGGGGCCCAGGGGTACTTCACGTCAGGAAATGAGCGGGGAGACGGAGCCTGCAGCAAGGGCCTCGGGAGCAGCACCCGCCCCTGCCGCTCC